GCGTCAAAGGAGCGACGTGCGACCTGTCAGAGCTTTATCTCCGATCGCAGCTGCCTCTGCGCGTCCTGGAGATGTACCAAATCGTCGCCGCCGGAGACGACTCGACGCCGCTGAGATCGGAGATCAAGCTCTGACAGGTCGCACGTCGCTCCTTTGACGCCGACGTGACTCACCCGTGCAGATCACATCAGGACACGGTCTCGACACGCTCGGTACGACGCCTGCGACCCGTCTTGGGTCAGGTGGCACGACGCTCATCGCGCCTGGCAGCGCTGCCGTGCAGGTTGCCACGACGAGGTCGAGCACGCTTCTATACGCTCGCCCAGCCTTTCTTTCCATCCCATTAGGCAGCCTGGGAACGGTGGCGGTCAGAGGCAAAGCCTGCGAGGGGTGGTGGAACCACATGTCACGGCTACCGCCGGCTCGACCCCACGATAGCCTCCGGAGGCTGACTTTGAGGCACAATCATCGGACGACGTCGGCGAGTTGAGTCGCGCTCGCGGTAGCCAGATGACCTCTCATACTAGTATCATCGGCCATGGCCGCAGGAAGCGCGGGGGATTCCGCTGGGAGCAACACGGAGCTCCGTTGGACGCGTTTTCATGATTAGCGTGTCAGAGTGAATTGGAACTAGCCTATGGCAAGGCCGGCACCGTGGCTGTGCGCTCAGCGAAGTGGACAGCCACCCTTTGAAGACGCTGATCTCGGGTCAGGCAGTAACACAGAGGTACACTGGAATATGAAAGAATTTTAGGGGCCCGTAAAAATTAATGGAAATAAAAGAACCCTCGCTTCCGGTCCGACACTCGCCCTCGAGGCTTCGCCCCCACCTCGACGTGCGTTGACGACGACGCTGTGGTGCCCGCGTTTGCCACCGCCCTCGGGGGCTTGGTCACTAGAATCGGAGCCGCGCGCGAGCCCGTGCTGGCGGAGGAGGAGGATCCGGCTCGGCGGGCGGGCGCGGGCGTGGACGCATTACTTGGCGGCGCTTCTGCGGCGCTGACGCCGGGGAGATGCCGGCGTAGGAGGACGGGTGCCCCCTCGCGGGCGGGTCAGTCCTGCGCTCGGTCGGCGCTGAGGGCGGCAGCAGGGTGAGCTTGCCACCATCTCCAGGCTGAGCGCCCGCAAGCACCTCGGACGCCGGGCGCGCGATGCTGGCCGCGCCGTCCTTTCGCGAGGCGTCCCCCGGCCCGCTGCCGCGGCCGTCCGGAGCACCGGCGTGGGGCGAGGCGTGCTGCTCATCTAGCGGGAAGAGGGCCACGCCGTAGGAGGCGCGGCCGACCGTGAGCGTGGCGCCCGGAGTCAGCATCGGCGTCGAGGGCTGGCTTCCGAGCCGGGAGAGCTCGGCGGAGAGGTGGGCGATGTCGCGGCTCTGCTGGGCGATGAGCGCGCGCTGCGACTGCATCATGGAGCGCAGCTCTTCGACGGTGCCGAAGGTGTTTGGCTCGCTCCCAACGGAGATGTGGAGCAGGAGGCAGCACGAGTCGATCCGCGTGCCGCTGGGCGAGCGCAGGTGTAGGCAGCGGTAGCCGCAGCGGAGGGAGCCGAGCACCGCCGTCTCATACGCCACCAGCCGCCCCTCATCCTCCACCACCACCCGCAGGATGGTCTGGTGAGGCTCGGCCGCGAGGCAATGGAAGGTCTCGTCGAAGCTAGGGTTGAGGCCGTTGCCCTCCGCGACCGCGGTGACGAGCCGGGTCACGCCCTGCGCCTCGGGCGACGGCTGCGGCTCGCGCGCGACGGTGCAGAAGCCTCCAATTGCGTGCAGCTCGACGGCGACGCGCGGGCTCGACACGCTGGCACGGGCCCCGCTGGGCGGGCATGGGCTGTCGCTGAGGTGCGAAGCAAAGGAGTGGCGAGGCTCGGCGAGGAGGGGCCGGCACTCGTCCCGCGTCGGGAGCTGGTGCAGGGAGAGGACCTACGCGGCGGTGGGTCGCTCGGTGAGCTGACTAGGGAGAGGGCCGAGCGGGGCGGCAGCAAGGCGCGCGGCGGCCTTCAGGCTCGTCCGATGCACCTCCACCCGCGGCGGCGGCCACTGCTTCCCCCGCCCTATCACTGACTCCTTCTGCAGGGGCTCCGTCTCCAAAGACGAGCGGGGGGCCAGGCTGCCCTCACCCGACGCCCGATCACTGCCAGAGCCAGAGAGCAAGCGAGACGGGGTCCTGGGGCTCCTGTTGGGTGGTATGGGGGGCGGCATCGCCCGATCGGGCGCACGGAGCGCCGCGGGCTTGAGGACGTAGCCACCGCTGCCGCGAAAGAGAGCGTCGTGGAGCTGCACCGGAGCGTCGTTCGTCTGCAGGTTGAGCGCCACCATCTGGACACCCGCGCGCCACGCCGCCTGTGGCGGGGTTGGGGGAGGAAATGTTCGCTTCGCTTGTGGCGAGATGGGGTGCGGGGGGCTGGGGGAGGTGGTGGGAGCGAGGGCGGGACGCTCACAAGCGGGTTGGGGTTGGTCGACAACCATCGAGTCGGAGAGGGGAAAGTTCGCACGAGCTGGACGGCCGTGGCGGGCAGCCACCCTCCCTCCTCGCTCGCCAGCCGCTCCAGCCGCTCCTCAGACAAGCTCACGACACCTCGGCGCGGCAGCTTGGCGGCCGAGAGCTCGCTCGCCGGTTCCTCCGCTGGCCACGGGCCGCTCTGCAAGCAGGTCGAGCTTAGAGACCCGAGGGAAGACTCGGAGATGTCCTGCGTGGCCCTGCTGTCGCCGTCGCCCTTTGCGTGGCACTCGAGAGGCACGCCGCGGAGCCTGCCCCAGACGCCCCGGTGGAGAGAGCGGCCGCTGAGCTCCTTCCAGCTCCCCTTGCGGTCGAGCCGCCTGCCGCTGTCGTCCTCCACGGGCGGCGACGAACCGATGGAGCACGTGGGGAGGGTGACGAGCGAGCGGAGGAGCGGGTCGGTGATCACCCCTCCCCTATCGAGCCGCATCTTGACGAGCACCTATTAGCCGCGACGTATCCGAGATGTCGAGCTAAGCCCGAGATCACCCTCGTCGAGCCGCAGCGTGAGCACCGTCCGGTGCAGCTCGCGGAGGGTGCTCGCGGCCGTGGGGCGCTCGAAGGGCGACCGCGGCGTGCGCAAGAGCATGTCGCCGAGCGTGTCGATGAGCTCTTTGGCGACCTTCTTCTGCTGCTTCGCCGAGCAGTGCATCTCGATGCTCAGGATCACGGGCAGAGGACTGCTGGTGAAGGCGTGCTCGGCTATCGCGGCGACCACCTCGCCGAAGGCTACGCTCCCGCAAAGGAGAGAGACCCCTCCCGGCATGCGATGAGTGACACGCGGGCCCTGGCCCGACCACCGCCCGTCCCAGCAGTCGATCTCGAGGCAGCGAGTCCCCGAGAGCAGGAGGCGGCGGTACATGTCGGCCGAGGCCGCAGAGGTGAGCTGGTCCCCCTCGAGGAAGCTGTTGTGCGACGAGGCGATCCAGTAGCTGCTGAGCGGCTCGGTCGCATCCTCCGTCGGGGCGCTCCTCTGCTCGATGGCGCTGTTGCACGGCGAGAGCAGCAGCGCGGCGAACTCGTGCACTGAGACGAGCTCAGACTCCTCCATGGTGGCCTCGTTTGGCCGGGTGGCGCGGAGGCCTGCCTTCCACTCCTCCCACAGAGTGCGCCCCCCCGCGCCCTGCTCGTTGAGGCAGAAGCGAAGCAGGTCCCCCAGGCTCAGCGACGCTTTCGACGCTTCCGTGCTGGGCATCCTGCTGCCCAGCGAGAACGCCCTGGTGAGCCTCCCACCCGCCTCAGGGTCTGCGACGTCAGCACAATGGCCGTGGCGGTGCGAGGAAACCAAAGAGGCGAGCGCCTCGATGAAGGGCGTCGTGTTCCGCGTCGCCTGCAGCCACTCCCGAAGCTGCGCGGCCTCGCGCGCGGCCGCCCCCCACAGCTTCTGCTCCAGCGCCGAGCGCTGCTCGACGAACGGGCGCCGCTCGATGTCGGGCGGGCCCTCGGTCGGCTCCTTGTTCGCCCTGCGGCAGATCCGCTCCCACACGGCGTGCGACGTAGCGGCAGGGCGCATACCGTGAAGGATGGGCAAGTGCGTGCAAAGCCAGCGGCAGATCCGCCGCACCCCTCGCGCGGCACCGACGCCGAGGCGCGCAAGGGGGCTCCGCGCGACCCACAAGCCGAGGAGGGTCCACGGGCTCGTGCCGTGGGCCGCGGCGATGCGCAGCAGCAGCCGGAACGTGGTGACGCAGAGCAAAAGCACGCACAGCACCAGTGCACCAGCGAGTGCAATGCTGGTCCATCCCGTCATTCCCATGAACGGGTCATTTCTGCCGACCTGCACCATCAATGGCGCCGTCGGTGGCAGCGCAGGCGGCGGCAGAGGCGGCGGGGGCGGCGGTGCCAGCGGCGGCGACGCAGGCGGCGGCAGAGGCGGCGGGGGCGGCGGTGCCAGCGGCGGCGACGCAGGCGATGGAAGCGCACAGTTGACCTTCAGCTCGCTCATCCTGCACGTTTTGCCGCTGACGAAGCAAGCCTGCCACAGGCCACCGCCTCGCACCTTGGCACTGCCGGCGCAACTCTCCGGCGTGAGATCGACGCAGTGAAAACGGAGAGAAGTGATGGGGTTGAGCGAGCATGCGTTGACGAGGAGCGGCCCGGGTGGTGGCGGAGGCGCTGCTCGCTGCGTGCACTCAGCAGTCTCGTCGCTCATGATGCAAGCATCTCCGCTGACGAGGCATGCCGACCACAGGCCATTGGCTCGCACCTTGGCCTTTAACGCACAGCGTGCAGGAGAAACCTTGGCACAAAAGAAGTTCTCCCTCGTGATGGGGCTGAGCGAGCACACGTCGAGGACAGGCGACTGCGGCGGCGCTAACGGCGGCGTGGGGCACTCAGCAGCCTCGTGACTCATGGCGCAGGATTCTCCGCTGACGAGGCATGCTGACCACAGGCCGTTGGCTCGCACCTTGGCGCGGGTCGCACAGTTCGCGAGAGAGACTTGCGAACACCAGTAGTCGGCACTCGTCATGGGGTTGAGCGAGCACGCAGCGTCCAGGGGCAGCAATGGAGGTGGCGAAGGAGGCGGCTGTGGAGGCGGCGGCGGAGGTGGTGGAGGCGGCGATGGAGGTGGTGGTGTAGGCGGCGAAAGCGGCGGCGGGGGCTGGAGACGGATGGGGCATTCGGTAGCCTCGTGACTCATGGCGCAGGATTCTCCGCTGACGAGGCATGCCGACCACAGGCCGTTGGCTCGCACCTTGGCGCGGGTCGCACAGTTCGCGAGAGAGACTTGCGAACACCAGTAGTTGGCTTTCGTTATGGGGTTGAGCGAGCACGCAGCGTCCAGGGGCAGCAATGGAGGTGGCGAAGGAGGCGGCTGTGGAGGCGGCGGCGGAGGTGGCGGTGGAGGCGGCGATGGAGGTGGTGGTGTAGGCGGCGAAAGTGGCGGCCGGAACGACGGCGGCGACGGCATCGCTGACATGTACCCTGTAGAAAGGCAAGCTCTCTCGGAGTCGTTGTAGCGAGATTGTTATCACGTTCACGGCGTTTCATGAAGCGTATTTTCAACGATCTTTCCAAGAAGCAGAGTTTACTCTGAGCTCGGCGAAAAAAAGGAAAAGGAATTAAGAAATGACAGAAACACTTGCCCAAGGAGCTCAACACGGGCGATGGCGCAGCACACAGACACAGCGGTCGGCGGCGCTGGCGGCGGCGTGGGGCACTCAGCAGCCTCGTGACTCATGGCGCAGGATTCTTCGCTGACGTAGCATGCTGACCACAGGCCGTTGGCTCGCACCTTGGCGCGGCTCGCGCAATTTTCCAGCGGGACTTGCGAACACCAGTAGTCGGCACTCGTCATGGGGTTGAGCGAGCACGCAGCGTCCAGGGGCAGCAATGGAGGTGGCGAAGGAGGCGGCTGTGGAGGCGGCGGCGGAGGTGGTGTAGGCGGCGATGGAGGTGGTGTAGGCGGCGAAAGCGGCGGCGGGGGCTGGAGACGGATGGGGCATTCGGTAGCCTCTTCACCCATGATGCAAGCATCTCCGCTGACGAGGCATGCCGACCACAGGCCGTTGGCTCGCACCTTGGCGCGGGTCGCGCAGCGTGCGGGAGAGACTTGCGAACACCAGTAATCGGGGTTTATTAAGGGGCTGAGCGAGCACGGTGCGAGCGGCGACGGCATCGCTCACATGGACTTTTCAAAAAGAAGCAAAACCGCTCTCGAGCTCCGCCAAGAAAATGAAAAGAAGAAAAACATCCGCAAGGAGCTCGACAGAGCGATGGTGGCTCACACGGACACTCACACAGACACAGCGGTCGGCAATGGCGTCGACGCCGTAGTCGAGAAGGTCTGCAGCGACGAGCTCCCGGTGCACTCGCTCGAGCGCGAGCTCGGCGACTGCGCGCGCGCGGTGCTCGTCCGGCGCGAGTGGCTCAAGCGCCAGCCCGGCGTCGCGTCGGCCGAGGCGGTCGGCCGCGTGCCGCACGAGGGCTTTGACTACGACGCGGTGCACGGCGCGTGCGCCGAGATGGTGTTCGGGTACATCCCGCTTCCCGTCGGCGTCGCTGGCCCGCTGCTGCTCAACGGTAAGACCTACCAGGTCCCGTTGGCGACGGTCGAGGGCGCTCTCATCGCCTCGACTCGGCGCGGCTGCAAGGCCATCACCGCGGCGGGCGGCGCGTCGGCCGCGGTTCTGTCGCAGGGGATGACGCGCGCGCCCGTGATCCGCTTCCCGAGCGCGATCCGCGCCGCGGCGTTCGCCGCCTGGATGCACGACCCCGCCAATCTCGCGGTGGCGCAGGAGCAGTTTGCGACGACCACGCGCTTCGGGCGGCTCACCTCGTGCCGCGTGACGGTGGCGGGGCGGTACGCGTACGCGCGCTTCGTGTGCGCGACGGGCGACGCGATGGGGATGAACATGGTCTCGAAGGGCGTCTCTGCCGTCCTCGACTT